CTTGCGATCAGAGTCACGGAACGGATTACGTTCGTAAGTAGAGGTACCACTGTATATGTATCCTTCCTTCCTTTTCTTCAGAACCCCAGGATAAGGTGGGAATTCTGTTTGTGTATGGTCCACTTGCCAACAGATTTCAAAAGATAATATGACTGCTTATGGAGTTGGTGTTGGTATTGGTATTATTTATTTATGCTATTACATTTTAAAATATCAATAAGAAAAATGCATATATCTGTATACACATAAATAGATGCATATAGCTGTAGAATCAGTCCCCGAAGGCCTACCTGAGAAGCCATTTTTTTACTAGCTTCCAAAATGCCATGAGGAGGCCATATTCAGCTCAGGGGGCAAGCTGTTCTGTAATGCCACTGAGAATGCCGATGTTAGGCCACCTACTGATCGGTAGGTGGGGATGATAGGTGGGGGTCCTTCGTAGACACTGTGGCCATCCAGATTAGACAGTATATTTGGGAAAGACAGTCTCTCATATTCAGGCCATGTAAGGCTTTAAAGCTGGTGACCAGCACAATGGAAATGGATTCCAGCCAGTGCAACTCCACAGTACCAAGACTGACCAGTGAGCTCATGGGTTGCTGCATTTTGGACCAGCTGAAGTTTCTAGGTAGTGTTCAAGAGCAGCCCCAATCTAATCAGGAGATGACAAAGGCATGAGCGACTGTCCTCAGAGCACTATGTTCCAGTAAGGTTGCAACTGGTTTATCAGACAAAGCTGGCAAAGGCCCTCTGGGCCATGCCTTCCACTTGTTCCTTGAGTAGGAGCTGAGAGTTCAAAAGTACCCCAGGTTGCAAATTTGCACTATGGGGGAACACAGTCCAATAAAGAGTCAAAGATGATACAATCCAGGAGTCAGAAGGCTTATGAATTAATAGCCACTCTGTATCGCAGGATGGAGTCTGAGCGTGTTTTTCCCTGACAACCTCCAGGCAGTGACATGGGAATTTTACAATATCTCCCATTAGGCCCAAGATGAAGATGTATAACTGGGTGTCATCAAATTGGTGAAACTTTATCCTGAACCAACAGAGGATCCAAAGTTTCATCCAGATGCAAATTTTGGTACCAATTCCAATATACATTTCCAGTCCCATTTGTCTGGTGCATTTCAGAACTCACAACTGCCAAAACAACTACAATTCTGTTCTATTTAATCTAGTGCTGATGCACATTACTGATTGCATGCTGAATCCGATCTTTTGCTCAAAAAAGACAGGTAGTGGCCATTAGAGTTTTTGTGTTTGTTTTATAGTTGGTTATGATGGTGATTATCTCAATGACCCAGCAGATGTTTGGAATATGGAACTCTCCAGAGCGATAGATATGATCATTCCTAAATATCCTCTCTAGTTCTCTTCAAAACCAGCTGTATAGTATATAGACAAGATAGACAACTAAAACACAAAGGAGGACATATCTCAGATTGCTAAGGCATAGCAAACTGTGATGGAATAGAATTATGAAGGCCAGGCTCAGGGAGAAAAACATTTTCTTACATCTCCTGAGGAGCATGAGAGATGT